GTGAATGCACATGCAACATTTGAAATTCCCTGACAATGTGCTCATTAAAGTTTCTGGCTTTTGGTTACTTCCTGTTTCTCCTGTCGATAAATTCCCCCGTCTGCTATATTTAGCTGAGATACTATATTTCATTTATTGTCTTTGTTTTGCTTTCAGTGCCTTTCAATTCTGAGCTCATATACTTGAATACTCCTTTCTGCTGGCAGAGACCTTCTTACTAACAATATCCTGCTGGCCTGAGGGCATGGCAACAATACATCCTGGTGCCAAGTGGGACAAGCCCAGTTTGAGACAGGCTAAGTCATTCCAGGCCTTGAGCCAGCGGAGGCGGGATGGTTGCTTTGTAGTAAAACTGGCACGCCATTCACCATCCTCAGGAAGAACAAACTTATGTGCCAGGTTTCACAGCTAGAGGTGTGTGAATGCTGCCTGTACCAGGCTTTTCAAGGAAGGACAGAAAAGGAGAACTGATAAAACTTGCAGAACGTTGGCAGCTGTGGAAGATTGATTATAATATATGTTATGCCTAGTAGAAGATAACTGGAAGGGTCACCTATGACTCTCCATTTCTTAGAAACATTAATTATTAAGCTTGACTTAATCTTTGTAGTTGATAACTATTGTCATTGTCATCCTTACTTAATAGATCCAGAAAAGTTAAGTGCACTGTCGTAGCAAGCGCTTGTACCAGGGCTGGCCTCAACGCCCCTTGGTGGTCACTTGACCTCTGCTCTGGCCTTGCTTCTCGGATCTGCCATGCCTTGTTAGATCCTTGGAAAGGGAGGCTGTCCCAGGAATCCCTGGTCCCATGCTGCTGTTCACATGTCACTATTCAGCACCTTAAGCTTCATTATCCATGGAATATGGGTGTGAAGCATCTCCAACAATCCCTTACCATGCCCTTGCCTTACAGATGTTACCATTCAACCTGCCCTGCTCCTGAGTCTGAGCCATCTCTGGCTTCTGTCTCTGCCCTGCTCCTGGGTCTGCTGAGGCCCCCCCTGCTGCTTGTTTCAATCCCTAAACCACCAGACCCTACCTCAGCTCTAAGGCTGCTGTCTCTTAACCCCTGGGAGTGCAGTGTCTTACTCTGCTGCTTACTCAGGAGCTCCTTCCATGTTCGCAGCCAGGGTGAGACTGCCTGCCTCTGGCCCTGGGCTTATGCCCCTTTCTGGTCAGGTGCTGCCCTGCCCGCTGACTCAGCTCCTTTCAGAGTCTTTTTCCTTCTGAAAGAAGAGGCCCACTGTTACAGTTGTCCCAAGCATGGGGGACTGATGCCTCCTGAGTCTGGGAGGGCACCCGCAGGTGCCACCACCAGCGGCAGGGGCAGAGCTAGTGAGTACCTGCAGGTGCCGCCAGTGATGGTGGGGGCAGAGCTGGTGAGCACCCACAGGTGCCTTGAGTGGTGGCGGCCCTGTCAGGAGGGGCACATGCCCCTCTGTGTCCTTCTTACGCATTGCCTATGGTCCCTAGTCAGATATTGCAAATCAGTAGCAGAGCCCAGCAGTTTGAACACAAGCACACTCCTCCTTTCATCATACCCTGACATCAACAAAAGTTGAGTTGAGTTTCTAGAATCTATATAAAGCTGTGAAATCTGTCTCCTTATAGAGTTGTTTTTATTTCCTTCTTTTAAGCCCAGAAAAATAGGAAAATCTAGACCCTGTTCTGAAGATGCAGACTGTCACTTTGATCAAGAGGCAGATGGTAGGACAGGCTGGCACCTTAGAAACTAACTGTCTTTAAGGTGCCACTCTGCCCTGCCTTCTGTCTGACTTCAGACTAACATGGGTAACTACCTCTTTGATCAGAAGTTTCCTTCTAAATGCACAGGTATTACTAGTGTCCCATGCTGCATGGTTTCAGTGCAGCCGTACTTACGGCATGGTTAGGTGAATTAAAGATCCCAAAACCACTCCCATTGAAATCAGCAAGAGTTTGGCCATTGTCTTCAGAAGGAACAAGATTGACCCAGGGGCAGAGTAGGAAATTTCACTTTGAACTTTCTTACTTGACAAGGGTTTAAATCAGCCCTGTAACTTTACTTTGATGTCATTTATTGTGGTTTAATACCCCCCCTTTTATTTATTTTTTTACAGTCATGTAAAATATATAAAGAAACCTAATCTTTTAGGGAGGTGTATAAGAATTCACTCAATAGTCCTTAATGGCTCCTTTATGCAGCTGTAAAACACAGGGAAGCAGTTTTAGCTAGACTAGAAACTTTAAACATTATATAAATATATGTAGTATAGTCACAGGTTTATGGCTGTATCTACCTCCCCCAGTGTTTAATTAGCTTGTGTATTTCTCAGGCATCTATAAGTAAAATCTGTTGCACTGGAGATCAAGGGGGAAATCAAAAGGAAGGAAGAAGGAGCCAAAATCTGTTCTTGTTTATGATAGTATAATCCTGGAGTAACTACATTGACCTTAATGGAATTACACTGCTTTAAATTCAAAATAATTGAAGACAGAATTTAGCCTTGGCAGTAGAAAGAGTTTGATTCTACTTTCATTAACACCACGGACTATAGATATGTAGCTGAGACAAAGTGGCTATAGCCCAGATCCTCACTTGGTGTACATCAGAGTAATTCCACTGAAATCAATATAGTCTCTGTTTATACCACCTGAGAAACTGGCCCATGCCCTATGAGAATGTCTAACTTCCTGGTATGCAGTTCAACGTTCCTCAACACCTAACACACCATGTAGTGCAGTGAGACAATTTTAAGAAGACTAATAAAGCTTAGTAGACCATAAAGACTTGTTTTAAATCATTCAAAACCCAGTACTAAATCATGTTAAGTGTCTTCTCGTTGAAATGACAGTGGGGTTGAATTGGATCCAGTACGGTTTGCAAGTTAGCAAAATCTGTGTTCTTATGGTTTGTGAAGCTCATCAATCAGTTTTAGGTTTTGCAGTGCCATAATCAACTGCACACAAGAGCACCTTTCATAAGGTTTCAGTAAATACTTCAGTTCTTTATTCTGTTCTGGTATTGTATGTGCTGACTTCCTTTATTGTTCAAATTGGGAAATAAAAATTAAGGACAAAACACAATTTGTCAATGAAATTACAATGATTTTGTCTACTTTATCATATATCATATATTAATGGGCACAGAATCATAGAAAAATGAGGGTAGCTAGTTGGCAGTGTGAATATAATTTATGTATAGGGCTGTGTATCAGGGTATATATATCTATATGTCTATAATGTATTTACATGCAATTTTTATAAAAAGAGGACACTGGAAAAAATTAAAGGAAGGTCCCTTGCATCACAATTCTTATAATTTCCTGCTGGATTTTTCTTAACTGCCTTTTTGTATTTCCATTCCATCTCAGTGGTAAGGATAGCCTGCACTGTTAGTAATAAAGCCAAGGATCATCTTTTAATAGATTGCCACTATCTTTTGTGCAAATAAACATACACAGTGAAAATTCAAATAAAATACTACACACCCCACATATTATTTAAAAATGTTACATATAAGAAATATCTTACATGTAACATTAATTATAATATGTGGTGAACATTACTGTTTTATCTGTACTGGGCTGTTCATGGTTTTTCCCTAATGTGGTAGCCTACGAAATGTGTTCTTTCCTCTCCTGCTAGACCATATTTTATGCTTGAGAATTAGACACAAGGCGCAGAGACTGATACTGCAAGTCAATGGGTAGCTAGCACTTTAAGCATTGATCCTCACACCCTTCAGGCTGATCCCGTGGATGGAGTTTGGACCTACTAGGAACACTGCTAAAGTCAACAGAGTTTCATGTGCCAGCTTGAAGGACTGGTCCATACTTTCTACCTTTTTAAAGTGACAGAGCAATAAACTCTTCCTTGTTGGTCCCCACTCTCTCTTGTCATTGTGATTTTTAATGGTTGATTTCCACCTTTTTCTACATATAAAAGTAAATAAGATTTTATCCTTGCCACTTATTTAGAAGGCAAATGCGTTAATCTAAGCTCTAAATTTTCAATTTGGAATACCATTTTTTAATCCTGTTAAAATGGGGAAAACGGTGAAGACAATGACTTTGCTCTGATTTAAACAGTTCCCTGCAGTATTTGCAGTCCAGTCATTTCAGCACTGTGCCAGTACTTTGATCCAGGAAGATAAGGACATATTTATTTTCATTGTTCAGGCCGAATGAAATCCAAATGAAGTAAATAGAAATGAATTACATTAATTTTAGTTAGTATTAACAAGGTAGTTAGCTTTTAAATTTGTTTCCTGTTTAATAACATTAGGCATCATTAAGCAAATAGGTAACACACTTTATAAGTGTTTATTACTATTATTATTTACTTATTTCTTAATTCTAATACATGTACAGTCAACACTCTGTTTATCAAATATATTTATCAAATGTAAGGCCTCAGTGTGGTAAAAATGTAGCTGCATGTTTAACTTGCTGTACAAAATTTAGTTTACTGAACTGACCAGCTGTGAAACTTAAACATATTCATAAATCTTTGTAGAACTGGTGCTTAGAAAGGGTTTAGACAGTATAAGTAATACATATTATTATTCTAAATGTTACATCAGTGATTTATTTGTCACTAGCTCATCCCATCTGGCCCATCATTTTTCTAATTGCTAGTTAAATTGAATACAGTTCCTCCATTTCTCTGTATTTTGGGCAGGGATTTCTATAAATGGACTTTTTTTCTTGCAAACATAACAATAAACTAAACAAAAAAAGGCAGATACCACCTGAAATAGAAACAGGGGAATAGTCTATATTTCCTTTTTAAAGAAGTGGATATTTTTAGTTGCTGTTTACCTAAATTTAAATTAGATCCTAATTCAAAGAAGTAATGAAACACTTGCTGAAAAAAAACCTTACAAACACCATGAAACAACCATAACAGTGAAACTGGTTTATTCTGCCAAACATGCCTAACGTACCAAAGCGTTCATTAGTTGTGGTCACTGCTAGAATTCACTTTGTGTATACGGTTTCTTTTTTTCTTTTTCACAGAAGGAATGTGCTAATTTCATCAAGGTGCTTAAGGCTTACAACCACACACACTTGTATGCCTGTGGAACTGGGGCTTTTCATCCAATTTGCACCTATATTGAAATTGGACGCCATCCCGAGGTAAGCCTAGATATTTTCCTTTCTTTTTTTAACCATTATTGATGTTTAGTCGTGACCCCTTGCTGCTGAAATGCATCATTGATAATTTCTGCAGCTCATTTAGTTGCTGGATTGCTGTGGCTGCTGGAGGGCCTGCTCCTAGGTCCAGCGTTGACAAGCTTGCTGATTCATGAATTGGAACAGTCTGAAACCATCACCTGCCAAAAGAAGTTGACACAAATGCACCTAGTTTGTCTAGTTTGCACAGCCAAAGGATCTTCTTTGTTTGGTTGTTGGCTGATACTAGCAATTGGAGCGTGCAGTGCTATGCGCACCTTTGTTCTAGAGCCAGCTTTGTCCTCAAGTCCTCTCCCCAGCCAAGAGAGTCTGATGTCGCGGCAGCTTTCTCCCATCTGGGAATTCAGACAGGATGTCATCCAAGCAGGCTTCCCAGCTCTCATATTTGTCCTAACACACTGACTATTTTGCTGGCTCAAATGAGGCTTGGTGTTTGTTTTCTTAATTGTTACCAAGAAAAAAAAAAACTTGTCCCCACCAGGCTTTCCCCTTTCTATTTAGTTTTCTTTTTCATTTAGTTGCTGAATGCTGACATTGTATTTAAGCTCCAGAAAGTGTGGAATAGATTTAGAAGAGCTTGTTTAGTGGTGCTGTTAACTAAATATTTAACTGATAGGCACGATCCTCTTGGTAATAAATCAGTGCCACTCCACCAAAATCAAAGGAACTATGATGATTTACACCACCTGAAAATCTGACCAGCATGTGTATGTGTGTGTGGTCTCAGGACAGGTCTCAGGACGTGTTCTGTCTTATACTTTCCTAAAAAGCAAAACTTTTATTGTCATATTAACAGAAGTGTATAACATAAATGAATCCATTTTATGTTTGCTCCTAGCGTGGCTTACATAAATATTGATTTTGAGCAAGTTCATCAAACCGTCTCTCTCGAACTGTTCTCAGTAGTCACATACTTCAATTTATGGAGGTAGTTTTTGGAGCACCCATAGTTGGATTATGTTTAGTAAATCTAATCTCTGAAGAATAGCTATTTAGAGTCACCTTATGGACATCCAGGTTTACGGATTGCTGTAAAGACATCATTGTTTAAATGAAAAAGAACGGCCTAGGTCATTTAAAAATAGAAAAAAACTTAACAGAACCGTTGAGTCATGACTTGATAGTTGGGGTATGATTATTTTCCTTTGTAAAAATGTGTTTTAGTATTTAAAACAAGCTTTTCGTCTTATAAGCATAAGGTTTTTGAGCAGCGAAGGGGATGCACAGTGGAAGTTTATTTTATGCACTTCAGTGCTTCGTTGTAGAATGTGTTCTTGGCAATTAGCGATTGTCTCTTGACCACACACAGTATGTCATTGCTTACTGCATTAAACAGATTCTCTGCTTCCTGAGATCCATTTGGGAATTGGTAGACATATTAATTAACTCTAGTTCCGCAAGATGTGTGTCAATCAATTCTTGGCTATCTGCCAAGTGTATCTAGCTGCAGAGAGATAGCAAGTATGAGGTCATTTAGTTTTACACTTGGCTGTTTTATGAGACTCCAGTAAAACTCACACCCACTTTATCAAGGATTTATGGAAAGGATGATCAGGTACTAGGGGCCAGATTTAGCTCTAAAGTAACACCACTGAGTCTGAGAGTTATACCACGGCTGAAAGTTCCCCAGACCTATAGCAAACCATTTATAGCTGCTTGTTTTTCATGGAAAAACCGCGGACTCCTTGAGTTTGCTGTCAGTTGGACATTAACATTGGTACTTTCTGAACCTGAATGCTTCCACTGAGCTCAGCTGTAACCTCACCAAACAGTTCAAGAGAGGATCCCAGAGAAGCCAGGCAGAGGCACGGCTATGGCAACTTCATTTCTACTTCATATTTCACCTGGAGTGAGATCATCTGTGTCAGGACTCTTCCTGGCACAGATTTACCCATCCCTCTTTGTCACCGCAAGGTTGGAGGGGCATGGCCAAGGCAATGGAAAACAACCCTAACTATCTCTGAACTAGAACCTGCTTTTTTCATCCCTTCACACCAGCCAGGGATTTCAAATGTTTGAAATGTGCCTCACCTTCAGGAATGTGTGCAAAAAGGGTGCTTGATTGACAGTGGCTCTGTGAGGGATACTCAGCTGAGAAGGCAAATATGAACACTTTCCATTCTTGCAATGCTGTATTGCTGCCTATATATGTACTGGTTCGCTTTCTAATTAGAAATCCTCAGAGCAGGCTCGATTAATCAAGTCTTCTCTGTGTTTTAATTAGAATGCTCTAGTGTGGCCTCACCATCATGTGTATAACTCCCCACGTATTTAAAAATGGCCACAAGGGCGCTTTATCTAAACCTCATCGAATTAGGTTTAAATAAAGCATCCAGTGGCCATTTTTAAATGTGCAGGGGCTTAATACATGACAGTAAGGCATTTTAATTAGAGTGACTCTCCGGGAGCAACTCTAATTAACCCTCCTCCTCCACCCCTGAGAACACATATAGGCAGCCTGTGTGTTGAAAAGATATATGTTTTACCTTGGTATGGCAATCTTCTCTAGTGGATATATACCACAGGTCCAAGCAGATATTTTTCATAGAAGATGTATCTTGTATTCATAGGGTATGCTGAACCATGCTAGTCAAGGCTTAGATTTATTTTGATTGAAGGAAAATTGTTGATAAAAGTTTGCTTCCACCATAACACTTAACAAAGGCTGGCTAGCCGAGTCCTCTATGTATTTCTTTACATGTTGATTTATCTTACTCCTGAATGGAACAATTCCATGCCTAAGGAAAAAGTAAATCTAAGTTGCCTAGGGAAGGGTTTAATACAATCTGAGTGCAGTGGAGGGGAGAAGGTTAGTATATTTTAACATAAGAAATGGAGAAGTACAATTTAAGAGAGAAATAGTGCAGAGTAGTAGATAATAAGCTGGAGGCAGTAGGGAAGGCCCCTAGCATAACTTTTGTGGCTGGAAGAAGGAAATAGAAAGGTTATTTTGTGAGACAGCCATAAATACTGTGAATATACATTGTTAAAATTATTAAAATCCCTTGTGTATAAAGCAGCATATTACTATAGCATTGCTTGTTTCACATTTGAAGCAAACCATTTGTAAGGAAGAAAATAGGAGAAAAAAGGGTTGGCTAAGATGCAGTATGCAAAATAACACTATGTGGCCAATAAGTACATAAACAGCAAGCTCTTCATTAAATTACAAATGCTCAGTACTAAGGAAACTAACCTAATAAATACATTGTTAATTAAAACACTTTCCCATGAGAAGAAAAAAATGCTGGCCTTGTATAAACCTATAAAATATCTGGAAATGAACTGCAGTATCAAGAGAAGAATGGGATTAATTTTGGAATAGACTCCCTTAAAACGCAGACATGAACACAGTGTACAAAAAGCTAGAACAAAAGAATAAATCCTCCCCTACAGCCTCTTCAGAAAGCTGCTAAAAACAATGTAGGCC